GTCCCACCCCAAATCCCATCTGTGTCAGCAGAAGGTGGCGGGACCTATCCCTGGCCTTGGAATAAGCCTCTACACCCTGAGCGGCCGTTCAGGTACTACAGGGACAGGCGCGGCGTAGGCAGCCAGACCTTCGCTACAGTTCATTTTGGGGCAGGCCAAGCTCTCCCCTAGGCCCTGCCACTGGCCTAGGACACTCCAGAGCTTTGCTGCAGCCAGAATGGGACACTAGCCCCTCTCCTTCCCCAAGGGCCAGAGACTGGAGAGACGCCCCGCATCTGGCGCCCTCTAGGCCCCCCCAGCAGCCGGGCGTGGCCCCCCCTGCCTGAGAGGGGCGCTTCCCCCCTCCCCAAGGAGCCCATATACCGCCCCTCCCCCATCTCCCAGCGCTATCCGCGGGGGCTGCTGCTGCACCCGCCAAGCCCTGCCTGCCTCCCCCCCACCCAAAATGGCGCCCGAGCAGAGCGCCGCGCGCCCCGCCCTCCGTGAAAATGGCGCCCGTGGCGTGTCTCCCGCCGGCCGCCAATAGGCGCTGCGCTGCGGGAGGAGCGTCGCGCGGGCAGTGACGCGCTCGGCCCGCGCCGCTCACGCGCGCTCTCTCCCTCTCCTCGGCTGCGGACGGCCGAGGTCAGCTTGGCGGGGCGGTGAGTGGCTCCGGCCGGGCCCTGGGCCCCGCCTCCCTGGCGCTGGGGTCCCGCGGGAGCCCGAGGAGGGGCGGCCGGGCCGGGCCGGGCCAGTCACGGCACCGGGAAGACGGGGTGGTTTCCCCCCCCCCCGTACCGGCACCGGCCTGGAGCCGTGTCCCGCCGCGCGTGGGGCTGCATCCGGGGCAGAGAAATCGGGGGGGCGCGCGCTGTGGCCGAGCCGGTTCCCTCCCCGCCCGGCGGGAGCCCCTTCAGCGCCGCGCGTGGGGCACCGCCCCGTGGGCCGAGCCTTGGGCCGCTCCCTGGCGACATTCACCTGCCCTGGCTCCCTCCCCGGTGGGGCCTGTCTTGTCCTTAGCGGCTCCTCTCGGGCTGTGTCTACACGACTGACTCGCCGTAGCGTAGCGGTGTCACTCCGGCGTGCGATCCGTGCCGGGAAAAGCCCCGTGGTGGGGACACCCGTTATACGGGGAAAAGCGGAGTTTCACCCCTAGAGCCGTGTCTAATTTGTGAGTAAATCGCATCTTGGTCTGTCTGCGCTGGCAACGTGCCCCTAGTGTAGAGGTGGCTTCGGTATGAAACTTATCAGTCGGAGCCCGGAAGTGGGCGATCCAATTCAGACAAGGTTCGGGGGGGGGGTCAGAACTGGGCCTGGTGTCAGTCCCCAGGTGCTGTTGCTGCCCCAGAGGAGCTGGCCTGTGTGTCGGGGGAGAAGAGGGCTGTTCTCGGGGATTTCACAACTGGCTTCAGCAGGACTAGTAGACAGTACCTAGCAGTACCACCAGCGTTTTGTGCCTGCAATGTGCATGTGACAAAACAGGGTACTTAAATGAGCATGCGCCGAGCCAAACCATGCAGCAGTGCCTAGGTATTGCAGTGACTGATAGGAAGTAGATACAATCCTATGATGGATGTCAGTGGTCGCCAGTGGGAGTTAATACCAACCTTAGATTTTCATTGTAACTTCTCACAGGCACTTTTAAATGTTCATGGGTTTTATTCCCCCAATTGCTCTCAATTTAGCATAAGCTATTGATGATGTTCCTAAGACTTAGACTGACTTGTGGATAAATGGGTGAAAGTGAAAGGAAGTGTTTCTTGCATTCGCAGACCTTAATGATGCCATATAAATATCATGCATGAATGTAAAACAAACAGGGCTGAAATTCATTGACAGTTCCCAGCACGAGACTACACTTTATCTTCTAGAGCAGTTGAATGTCCCTAAGGCCTTGTCTACACTTGCGGCAGCATGCGGGGTAGATGTAGCTACATGTCATAGTGAGAAACAGGCTGCCTCCCCACTGTGGTGTGTAGCTACACGATGCTGTGAAAGGCTTTGGCAGAGGGGAGGCAGAGTAGAAGTGGGAGACACTGCTTGGGCGTGTAGAGAGCTGTGTAGGGTACATACCCTAAGGTTCTGGCGTGTCTGTACTCTACTTACCTAAGCAGTGCCTCACCGTCTACACTGCTGTTTATACCCATACTAGCTGGGTATGTAGTATGTCTACACTACACACCACTACAAATGTCGGCATAACCTATGTGACACGTGATTTTCGGTCGCTACCGGCCTGGGCTAGATTCAAACCAGGCTATTAGGGAAAACTCTATGCCCTAGAGTCATCCAGTTCCCTCTTCTTTTTTAACTTTTAAATATACTTTTGTTAAAGTGTTTTTTGTTTTTTCCTTTTGTAGGCCTCTGAAATGTGGAGTTGACCCCAATTCAGTTTTGTACCCCTCCTCTTCCCTCCCAATAGATCTAGCTGTGTCATGGCAGCCAGACTGGTGCAACGCTGTTGTCGTCGGCTCTTTGGTGGCTCCACCTTCGCATCCCTGGCAAACCCAGCTTCTCTGTTAGCACCAGCATCCAAGACAGTGATAGCAAGAGCTCTGCCTCAGGCCGCTCTCGCTTCATTATACACTTCAGGCCTCTCCAGGCAAATAGACACACACTCAGTCAAGGAGCAAGGGTACAGTGGACATCCAGAGAACAGAAAGATTGATGAACTCATTGCATCAGCTTCTAGCCCTGACGATCTCTTGCACGTGGGTGAACGTGACTCTCTAAATGGGAAGCAGGCCTCCGCACTGATCATCCAACTCTCCCGACTCGTGGCGACGGAAAACCTAAAACCGAAGAGCATCTTGCAGGACAGTCGCTTCCAGCGAGTGCTCGACATTCTACATAGCCAGGTACATTCCCATGATGCTGCGGACAGGTGCTCTCGGAGGGAGGAGTGTGATTGGGAGAAGAAGCGTAGAAAGTGCCCTTTCCCTGGTGCTTTTAACCACACTTGATGAGACATAATTTCCCAAAGATCCCTAGCTGGTGGCCTGTGCAGAGTTGGCTGGTCACATGATGTTGGTTCTCCTAACTTCCAGCTGAGAGAGAGCACATGGAAGGGAGAGAGAGAGTGACCAACTGCTTTCAGAAAAGGCAGAATACTTATTGCACTAGAAACAACTAAAACTGCAGCATTACTCAGGTATTCCATTTCTGTGTGTTCAAAGGCTGTAGTGGCTGTGGGTGCTATGCGTCCCAGTGGTTGGGCACAGGCAGGAATTGGGGTGATAGCCGAGCAGACACTACATTGCCTTACCAATTTGCAGTCTCTCTATTGAGATCCTGCTGCTTCCTCCCCTATTGGTGACACGAAGCAGTGGTGCTTCAGACAGCCCTGCTAAATTCTGTTGTCTTCACAAGGGCTGTGGTGAACAGCTGCACAAGGATTAATAAAGTTTGAATTGGACTGATCATTGGTGAATTCTGCTGCCAGCAGCAGTGTTGTACCCATGTTAAGAACTTTAGTTTCCCCCTTTGGGCACTTCAATGAATTCACACCCAGCTCTCAACAGCCATGTGGAACCCTGGATTAGCCCAATGAAATCTCAGTAAAATGATAGGATAGCTAAACAAGAGAATAAGAGTGGGTTTCACACGTTACATTATGTTCTCCACTACCTATTAAACTACAGCAGCCTTGTCAAATTCAGTACTGTCCTTGTCTGTGGTCGGTACTGGCCCAGCTGGCTGCCACAGCAACATCTGTAGTTCATGGGCCCCATTTCTCTATTACTGGACCCTGGGGATAAAAGAATGCTACAGACACCTGGTATAGATCAGTAGAAATACTTCAGCATCTCACCATAAGAGCATGCCTACATGGGAATGTTAAATTGGATTAGTTTGTTTACTCTAAGTGCACCAAATTGTTGCACTTAGATCTGGAGAAGGGTAAACAGTGGGGTGGCAAAATTTGCAGATGATACAAAACTACTCAAGATAGTTAAGTCCCAAGCAGATTGCGAAGAGCTACAAAAGGATCTCACAAAACTGGGTGACTGGGCAACAAAATGGCAGATGAAATTCAATGTTGATAAATGCAAAGTAATGCACATTGGAAAACATAATCCCAACTATACATATAAAATGACGGGGTCTAAATTAGATGTTACTACTTAAGAAAGAGACCTTGGAGTCACTGTGGATAGTTCTCTGGAAACATCCACTCAATGTGCAGCGGCAGTCAAAAAAGTGAAGAGAATGTTGGGAATCATTAAGAAAGGGATAGATAATAAGACAGAAAATATCATATTGCCTCTTTATAAATCCGTGGTACATCCACATCCTGTATACTGCATGCAGATGTGGTCGCCCCATCTGAAAAAAGATATATTGAAATTGGAAAAGGTTCAGAAAGGGGCAACAAAAATGATTAGGGATATGGAATTGCTGCCATATTTGGAGAGATTAATGAGACTGGGACTTTTCAGCTTGGAAAAGAGATGACTACGGGGGGATATGATAGAGATCTATAAAATCATGACTGGTGTGGAGAAAGTAAATATGGAAGTGTTTTTTACTCTCTTGTAACACAAGAACTCGGGGTCACCAAATCAAATTAATAGGCAGCAGGTTTAAAACAAAAGGAAGTATTTTTTCACACAACGCACAGTCAACCTGTGGAACTCCTTGTTGTGAAGGCCAAGACTATAACAGGGTCAAAAAAAGAACTAGATAAGTTCATGGAGGATAGGTCCATCAATGGCTATTAGCAAGGATGGGCAGGGATGGTATCCCTAGCCACTGTTTGCCAGAAGCTCAGACTGGACGACAGGGGATGGATCACTTGATGATTACCTGTTCTGTTCATTTTTTCTGGGGCACCTGGCATTGGCCACAGTCAGAAGACAGGATACTGGGCTAGATGAACCTTTGGTCTGACCTAGTATGGCCGTTCTTATGTAAATTAACTGAGTGGCATTCACACTACTTTGTTATGCCACACAGCTCTGTGCTACCCACTACTGGTATCAATAAGTGCCACACCTAGCTGTGTGCCAGCATTTAAATGAGGATCTGGTCGAGATGACCATGGAGCAATGGAAGGCGCACAGACAGATCCACAGGCGTCTGATCCAGGTGTGAAGCAGTGCACTGTGGGATGGCAGTGGGAGGATTGCCTGAAGCGGAATACTTAAGAATTTGTCCACACGAACCTTAAAGCAAATAAACTCACTGCAGTGAGAAGTTAACTTCTCTTCCAAAGAGGATTAATTGCTGCCAACTATGATACTAAATAACTTGATTAAAAAAAAAGTTGAGTGTGGGCACAAGACACTTTAATGCAAACAAACTAAAGTTAAACTGATGTAAGACACCATGTAGACAAGCCCTGAGATATCAAAAGACAGGCAGGATTGGACCAGGCCAGCAGTTGGACAGAAGTCTCTCAATGGAATTCGGTATCAAGGTGCTGCAGGAAATGGTGTTGGTGGTTTGTATTGAAAGACTGAATGGGGCACGAGACTGAGAGTGGGAATGCTGAGATACTGTTCCTGGCTTGCCAATGACCTGTGTGATCTTTGGTAGGTCATGATCCTTTTCTTCAGCTGCCTAATGGGTGATACTTGTTTACAGAACCTTTGCAAACCACTCTGAGATCTCTAAGAATGACTATTCTACAGTGGTGATCAAGTCAGTGTCAAGGGATGGCTCTGAGAGGCTGCTGTGCTACTAAAAAATGCCAAGTTTCTGACAAGTCGTAAGACTGAAGTCTTGATCATTACAATGTCTGTGGTACCATTTGCCAGAGCATTGGTAGAGCACCCTGGCCAAATTCTATCTGAGTCATTACATTCTACTTCCCTTAATTCCGCTTCAAGCTGAGAAGTGATTCTTCCCTTTCCTTAAACTGTTTTGTACTGTTGTTAAATAGCTGTCATGTTCCACCCCAGAGGTGGCTGCAATTTGCTGATATTTCCTTTGTTTTCCGCACAACCCATGGGGATTCTTCAGCATGAAAAGTGCTTTAGAATCTAGAGTATCATCTGTGGAACTTTGGACTTCTGGTTTTTTTTTCTTCCAGCTGCCTATTGGCAGTTCCAGTGAGAGAAGCTTAATTTGACCCCCATGGCCCAGCAGTGATAGCCCTACGCTGCCCTGTACGTGACCTAGGTCATTGGATCCTGCACATATAGTCAAGATCTGGAAGCGTAAGAATGATGGCCTTGCAGCCGCTTCATCATCAGTTTCTCCTTGGAGAAGAGCTGCACGTGCCCTGTGCCTGTGGAATCATGAGGCAGTTGTGGAATGTACACAGGCGTGGGGAGGGGGAGTTTGGTCTGAACACAGAGGAAAAAGAGAGACCTGTTGACTGACACTAAAGGCAATGAAAGCTCAGCCTTGGGAAAACTAGAGCGCCACTGCTCTGTCTCCAGACCGGGGCTGGACATAGCAGCTGCTGGGAAACCTGCAGGCTGTGGCTGAAGTTAAAGGGGCAGTGAATGTGGAGTGTAGACACGGGAGCACTAAAACCACTCTTTGGGGGGTACCTTCCTCTGGAGCGTCTGGCATTTGCCAATGCTGGATGATTGATCCCATCTGATAAATCCTCTAGTCTCTAACTCCACTTCTTGCTCTGTTACAGCCTCCTTTGTGCCTAACAACATTCCCATATTTCCTCTTTGCTGCCTAGATTTCCCAGGTCTGTAGTAACTCTTTGTTGCCCCTCTTGAAGAGCCTCGACCTTCTGGGGCTGGAGAGGAATAAGAGGGAGCTGAGATCGGTGAAGCAGGAGGTGCGCTGGCGGTTGAGACGCTTGGATTTCAGGCAGATTGCTTCCCTGGCAGAGTACGTGGCAGCCAGCAAGCAGGCGGAGGATCAGAATGAGCTGCTGAGCGACATGTTGAAGCACCTGGAGCTGCGCTGGACGGAGATTGGGGACACGAGAGGTGTGGTGGCAATGATGGTGAAGCTCGGACACCTCTCGAAGACCCTGATGGACCGGCTGGAGGACAAGGTATAGGCAGCAGCTCAGACATGCTTGAGTCTCCTGCAGGGTGGATTGATTTAAATAAATCCTTTTAAATCTCCAATTTTATCATGATTTAAATCAGCAAGCTGGAAGCCTTGATTTAAATCAGCAATTTTAATTGTGCTTTCTAGTTATTTTCATTGGCTAGTAATCATTGAAACGTTGATTTGCAACGAAATACGGCCTCTACACCAAATTTGGTGCTGCTTTTTGTTAACCAGGAGGATAAACTCTATCTATACACAGATATTGAACTAGATACAGCTTAACTTACATGTATTTAGATTCTTAATTTTTACATTTATTCCATGAGAATGATGAATGATGCATTTCTCACTTCCTAGAGGATTAATTTTTTACTTGCAGTTTGTGTCAAGCTGTATCGGATGGAAAGTCAAATTTAATTGCAAATGCACAAAAACAGAACTTTACCTGAAATAAACTACCTTAAATGTGCTGGATACATAAGGAAAAAGTTTAGCAAAATTAGGGCTGTCAAGTGATTTAAAAAAAATCTACTCACAAATAAGCGCTCGTAGGCATTTATACAGCACGTCAGGCATCCGTGGCAGGATATTCCTTCAGGGGCCTCCTAGGGTTTTTGATGTGGAATGTTTTCCCACCACCATCCCCATCATTTTTTTTTTTTTAAAGCAGTGATCCTGAATATGACAAGCCAAATGACCCACAGATCTGGTCTGAGGTTAAGGAGAGAACTGTTGTGGTTTACTTTACACTTTACTGAAATGGCTCCATAGTGAGACTCTGTAGAGAGCCTGCCTCACCCCCAGGAACAGACTCCACTGAGATCTGAGCACAGAGTTGCAGAATCTGCTCATTGTGGGGGCAGGCTGCCCTGAGACCTCCCCCCCCCC